GATCGCGGATTCTAAGAGCGGCGGCTTCCCCTGGCCCCCACCCGGAGCCATTGGGGGTGCCCGGAGGGGACCGAGCGCCCCCTCCCCTCGGAGTGCAGGGGCCGCTCCCAGCCGGACCTCGGCCCCGGAGCGTGGGGTATGCGCAGCTAACGGTCCCGTCGGACGGGCTTTCCTCGGGCGGAGCGCGCAGGCGGTGCGCCCCAGCTATGGAGTGTCCCGGGAGACGGCGGGCATGACGGCGGCAGGATGGGCGCGAACAATGGCAAACAGTACGGCAGTGAGGGTGAGTGGGCCGCCCGTCCTCACGCTCCCGGATCGCGCCCCCCTCCTTTCCCCTCGCCCTCGGGTCTGGGAAGGAAGGTTCTCGCCCGCGGCGGTGGCGCACACCCATTTGGCCCCCTGTCCCGGCCGTCACCTTCCCTTTGGCACTGAGTGCTCAGGCGCCCCGAGGATGCTTTCCCACCCGGGACGGGGGAAGGGGGGTGTCCTTTTAAGCAACTTCCCAGGTTGCCTTAGGGACGGCTCAAGTGGCAATGCCGCGGTGTTTCTGAATGCCCGTGCCTCAACTTTCCCACCCTGGGCGTCTGGGATTTAGGATGATGGTTTGGCAGATGGTGGAGAAACGTTTTTCAAAGAAATCACGAAGTGAAAACTTTCTCAGGCCTTTGTGCTCCAGTCCGCTCTCCGGTAGCAGGAAAAAACTTCTGAAAAAAAGTAGTTAAGTTTCCATTCTCTGCTCACGGCCCGTGGGTGACAGCTTCGTGAAACTGACCACCTCTGGGCCCCCGCGAGGCGAGGAGTGGCGGGGGGCTTTGTCTGATTCTCTTCGGGCTCAAGACGGGCAAAGGACCATCTGTTCCATGGGGCTGGAAATTGCACAGAAATATTGCCTGTCAAGTGGGAACTTGGAGAAACTTTAAACTCCACCTCCTCCTAAAATGATGATGGATGTGTGGGCTGGCTTCCCCCTCGCCCCTCCTCCCTCTCCTCGCATAAAACTGTAGTGTTGTCACCCCATTGATTAACAGCATGCCCCCGATACGCACATGGCAAAGGCATTCCCATCGTTCAAAAGTTAGGAAGGTTGGTCTCTCGTGAACTTGGCTGGAGGGGCGTGGAAGAGCCAGGGTCGGTTTTATAGCCCGCCTCTGCAAACTGAGTTCAGAGCCTGCAGACGGTAGGAATGCAGAAAGGCTATTCAGCCTGTGGTGTTTGGGAAACTCCTATCATCCTACGCGAAACTTTGTGGATGTCGCCCCCCTTGTTTGTGGCCGTGTTTTTCTCAGTAGCTTTGTGAGATTCCAGCAGAAACCAATCAGAAACCCACGCCAAAACACCATATCCACAAGAGCCTTTTGTTTAAATCATTCTCTCCCCGATCATCATGTTTTTGAGTTCCACAGATATGTTGAAATACATAGATTTCCTTATTCTGGGCAGTTATGTGAGAGATTCTTTTTGGTGACAATTTCATTTTTAAAAAGTTAAAAGGGTGTCTTTTTAGATAGCACATTTGAAAGTATGCCAGAAAAGATTATTGGAGAATCGTAGCCACTCCCCCAAACTTCTTGGAGTTCATGTTTTAAAAGCTTGTCGAAAAATGGAAGGTGAAGCCTTCTTATTCTGAGTTATTACAAAGCGTTCAGGGAGTGAAGTGTATGCTTGTCAGTTCTGGGTGTGCATATATTATGCTACTTGAATACTATGGTGGGGGGAAGGACACCCTAAGAAGTATGCTGAGTTGCAGCTCTGGGTTCTTGAACAAAACCCCTGCACACTCCCCCTAATCCTCTGCAACTTGTCCGTATATCCCAGCGTTCTCGTATTGTACAGTGTGTGGTGTATGACGACTTCCTGTCTGAACAGCAGAGTTTTCAACCCTTGGGAGAGCAAAGGAGAGACAGAGAACTAATGTTCTCCAGCTGTTATCCGTAAATGCTACCTCTGCATTTTCACTTCAGCTGAAGTGAAATTTTACTGGGATCAGATTTAGGACGTTTTATAGGAAAAACCTCGGGCTCAGCTGATTCAAGGAGACCAATAGGAAGGGTGGGGAGGTTAACTGAATTTTGGCTGGAGAGGACATACTGTGTTTATTTGCATCAAATCTCTTCAAATGCATGGAGAGTTCTCTGATAGGTGAGGCGGAACTAGAGCTATAGAAGTAACAAGGATTTCAATCTTTTCTCCTCCAGTTACACCTGGCCTCTCCTAAACAGGGTTTTAACACAAGTGGGGTATGGTCAATTGTGTTCGACTGTGTTAATGGAAGGTAAAGTCTATGTAGATAAGCCTTCTGGAATTTGATGTGTCAGTGCCATCTTTCTGTTCTAAAATGTAAAATCTCAGAGCAAGTGAAAGCAACCCCTAGACATGGTATCTCTGTTGTCATCGGAGGTAGAAGTAAGACAGTTTTAGTAGATTTTGTGCAATACAGGCATGGTGTATTTCAAACATAAAGGGGAAATAACCAATAAATGCATATCCATAGAATGCATTGAGATCGCTCAACTCTAATACACTGATGTTTGTATGTACTTTAAAAATTTGCAATTTAAGTATATGTTTTACAGTTGACACCACCATGTAATGGGAATCCCCGTAAATTTTACAACAGTGTTGAGTTATTACATTTAAAACTTCAGCATTTCATTTGCAACCTACTTTCTCTTGTTCCGGGAAAACATCTTTTTTCATTAAAACAACAGAAAACCTATTCCCAGACTTACTTTAGCAGGTGAAATGGGGCAGAGACTTGCTGCTCAGTGTAATCCAGCGGCCTCCGCTCCACCGGGATGCTTGTCAGAAGTGTAGAATCTTGGGTTCCTCCTGGAACTACTGAATCATTTATCACGTGCGCATTGGAGTTCTGGGAAGTTCCTGTGCAGAGCAGAGCATTGACTTGGGAGTCTGGAAATTTGATTCCAGCTTCAACTTAGCTACTGTGACCTTGCTCAGTTCCCCCAAATCATGGGGTCTTTCTTCTCTAGAGTGAGGAGAGAAATTCCTTTTGGCCTGATTTGTCATGATCTAATAATCCTTGAGCATGTAGTTATTCATTAGGGAGGAGATTAGCCTTGTGGGGAGACATGTTATAATAAATAGGGAAGTTAAGACAATGATTGCTTGGAAATCAGTAAATGTCCCTCTTGCTTTTGTCATTCTGTTTTTCCTTCATCTCTGTCTTCCTCACTCATTGTTACCTCCTTTCTTAACTTAATCAGTTCTGAAATCCCTGCCAATCAATAATAAGTGTTTCCAAAGTGTTTTGTTTTCCTAAATACTTAGTCAACATTTAGGTTAATGATTTCATTTGCAACCTTTAGGTGGACTGGGATTTTGCTGAGGAAAAACTTACCTTCCCATTTCTGATCATTAGGTTTCTAGAGACATAAGCAACTGTCTAAATGATGAGTATGTCCTGGTAAATTCTTTAACAGAGAGCTGTTTTTCCCCTCTTTACCTTTTTTCATAAAGTGTGAGTTTCAGCCCCTGTGTAGAAGTCCACAGAATGAGGTGTGGTGGGTGATTCAAAGCCATCAGAACCATTAGCTTTGACTCTAGTTCAGCCAAATAAACAAAACTCTCTGTTCAAGTAGGAAGAGAGGAGCTGCCTTCCCTGCCTTTTAAGGTTTCTGAGCCTTACCCTCACTTACTCATTGGTTCATTGTCATGTTTACTCTATTCCAGCAGGTCTGAGACAGTAGCACTTACACTCTTAACAGCTCCTTTGCAAAATCCTGTGTGTTATTGAATTGCAGCTGATGAGGCCACAGTGATGGGGTTTGACCCTTGGCAGCTCTGCTGCTCTATGAAGATCCTTGGGTCCTTTTTCCCAATCTCAGATCTGTGATGTCAGATATGAGGAGAGTCAGTTGCCTGAGCACGTAAATCATCACAAATCCATCACGACTGTGGGGAACATATCTTGAAATAATAATAACAATGGCAACTAACATTTATTAAAAGCTTACTGTGGCCAAGCATGATCCTAAGTCCTTGACATGCATTGACTCATATAAGCCTCATGTGGATCCTATGGGAAGGCACTCCTGAGGTCCCTATTTTATGGATGAGGAAACACAGCTGCAGAGAGGATGGTCATTTCCCAGGTCCTGCAACTAGTGTAGGTGGAATTGGGACTCAGGGCCATGTCATTCTAAGCCCAGAGTCCTTTATTCATTCATTCAACTAATGCATGTTGATTTATTTCCTACTCTGTGCCAGGAACTCTTCTAGATTCTTGGGATATATCATTAAATAGATAAAGATCCAGTCTTGTCAATCTTATCTTCGTGTGTGTGTGTGTGTGTGTGTGTGTGTGTGTAGGGAGGGAAAATGGAATGATTAACATGCGTACACACCCATTGGATAATTCAGTAAATCTTGCAATGCATTCTAAGTAGCTAAATTTTCTAAATAAAGAAAATTATCAGATTAAGATTATTCAAAGTTGGGAGGAAGAAGGTGTTGCAATTTTAATTAGATAGATCACCACGGTGGGCCTTATTGAAAACTTGGTATGTAGACCAAGACATAAAAGAAGTGAAGGGCTGACCTTTGAGCATTCGTGGAGCATGTTGACTGTTACTTTGAGCCACTGTGTTATACCGAGGTGAATACTCTATGCTGGCGAGCATAAATCATCTTTTTATGCAAGTGTAGTGTCATCAGTCTTCCATAGTCAGCTGCTATGGAACAAAATCAGTCTGGCCAGTGGGCATAATTTTTTGCCTAGAACATTCGCAAATATGTTTTATCCAATTCTGAGACATTTTGTGACTGTTTTTGGGGGGAGGGTCGGGGAGGCCTAGGACATGCTCTTCTTGCTATGAAAGGTAGATGTTGCTTGATTTATTGGCTATATAAGAATACCTTCAAAAGTTTGTTAATTCTTAGCTAGAAGTATGTCTTTGTCTTTTGTTTCCAGTAAATAAATTTATTCTGATAAAAATCAGAAGATAAGCCATATTGATTCCACTGTTTGGTTCAAATCATAGCGTTAGCACAGCTAACAATACCATCTTTGATCTGACAATGAGAAGATATTTTCAGAGATTTGGGGGATCCTTTTACATGTTTAGAATAAGAAAAAGAAAAGAGAGGCAACTTTTCTTTGTCCCCTTGGGAATTAACTCACAAAAACTTGGTTTTAACTCCTTCTTCCCTTTGAAACAGAGTGAACTCTGGCTTAATTTTGAATAATTAATAATGACTCTTTAAATTGAATTTATTGAATTGGCACTGGTTAACAAAATTATACAGGTTTTAGGGGCACAATTC